ATATTTAGGCTGCTGAATTGGGTCCAAGGGGTGGCAAGTCAGGGTTATTTCAAACCCTGCCCCCATGTTTATCACACAAATAAACAGCCCCTGCAATTAAGTCCATGAAAGAGGTATAGGCTTAATCCTTTTCACCTCACCTGTATCATCCCTTGTGGCCTTGGTTTGAAGAAAAAAAAAATTTGAAAGAAACTACAGCAAAATTCTGCCTGCCTGCACTTTTGAAATTACTGCAATTTAAATAACACCTTCAGCACTAGAAAGGGGACTTGGTATCTGAGAGAACTGCAGACTACAATGCTGTCGAAAACGACTCCCCAGGAAACTCAATTAGGGGGCAACTGCCTCCAAGAATATGCAATAACATCTGGGGAGACAGACTTCTGTAAAGAGAGACGCTGAGGTGTTCATTTCAGATGGCAAGGTAATGCTGGTTAAATTGGTGTCAATGAACGGGGAACAATGTAGACAGAGGAAAAAACCTAGATGGGGGGGGTGGCATTTTGCATGGTTGGTAGGAACAACTGAAAGCCTGCAAATTAACATGTAGCCGGTATTGGAATCAGTCGACAGAATTCTGTCACCAGCAACATGCACCCAAGAAGTACTGTTATCACAGGTAAGACCCCCCCAATGACAGTCCAATTTCTGTTTTTCTCCTGGTGTCTATTGTCAGCTCATCTGAAAGCTGATTAGCTAGTGATTTATTGCCCAGTTGGACACAGCAAGGTCATCCCAGGAGGAGGGGCTATAAATTTCAGACAGGATCTTCTTCCTGTTGCATTCACTGCATCATTATTGATGGTCTGGGGACAAATGGTCAGCAATGCATAATTAAGGCAGTACACTAACATGCTCAACGACTTTGCAACAAGTGATTTTCCCCTCATCCTATCACTCGAGATATTTAACGGTATCTTCTTTCCATTCCTCCTTCCCAAAGGAACTCTCCTCCCAAGTACGACTTGTCAGAAGATTTACATTTTTGCTACACACTGTAGTTTTCCACAGAGGAAAGGGCCTCAATAGAATCAATGAATAGCTCTTCAAGCAAGGTCATTAAGACAGGGTTGTGCATGCCTGTGAAGAGTGGCCATCAAATCCAGAGACACAGTACCCCAGACTCAAAAATTTCCAGGAAAATAAAAACCACAACCCGCATTACAAGACCACAGACATAACCCTCCAGCACAAGCCTAACCTAGGCTACAGTGGAACTTGAAGCTTGCAGATAGTATGCTTAGAGATCCGTGCCCAAAGCACAGCTAGATCAAGAACCTGGAAACAAACCGAGCAGCTCAGTAAAATCCAGCAGCATCTTTAGCAACAACCTTAAAGTTAACCGAGTCCACGGCTAACTACATGTAGGCCATCTGAACTACCCCGGAACAGTAAACAAGAAATGTTCCCGAATGCAATCCATGTCGGAATGAGAAAGTGAAGCTTTGGCAGAACCAAAACCACAAATGTCTGATCTGGGACCAGGCAGAGCTCTACGGAGATGGATATGACCACAAACAGGAAATAAAGGCAACTTGGTCCTGAGCCTGGGGCTTCCAACCTCAGCCCACAACTAAAAAACCTCTACAAGTGGGTATCTGGGTGGGTGTACGCAGCTTCTGCAGAAACCTGACAACTCAGGTGACTGGGCCCCATCCACTCCCTCAACAATTTCACTCAAACCTGTTGGCAATGTGCACCATCAGAGAGTGAGGATCTGTCTCCAATTTGCAGGGCAGGATGAGTGTTTTTCCCGTCAGATCGGAGCAAGATCTGCATGCTCCCTTTGGGCTGCTGAGTGGTGCCTCTCCAAGACAGGGATTAACCTGATCCAACTGGTCATCAGTCACCAGAAAACCCTCTCCCATTTTGCAGCTTGGTTTTACGTTGTAATGCACCAATTCTGATGAGACTCTGAGGCCAAATGTTCAGCTTTTTTTACAGACTCTTGGAACAAGGATACCAGCCAAGAGGAGTGCACATTCTGGCGTAACATTCAAGAGATATGATCACAAGCCTTAAGTGGGACACTAAAACAGCGTCGTAAAGCTTGCTGGATTGATCATGATGAAACAAATATTTATGGGTACATCTGCTATTCCGAAGTCTATTGTCAAGCATGCTTCTATACAAGACTACGTAGAACAGCCACTGGAAATAGTTCTCATCTTGATTTGCCGCATAGCAGAACTGAAGCCGAGAGAAATTTCTTTGTACCCAGAACTTGTAGAGATTGGAACAGGCTTCCTGATACAATAGTCTCCACAATTTCAATCAGCTCTTTAGGGGATCAGGTTCTTGAGTTTATCAGATCCAGGGATAGGAACTTAAATTAACTTTGTGCCACTCAATCTTCTCCCGTGACTACACATGGATTCAGTGAGTCTGTCGCTACATACCACAGAAGAAGAAGACGGAAAAGGCATTTATAAAAGGACAGCAGTCTCTACAAGCTGTTCCTCAAACAATCAGGAGATTTCAATTTACAACTCGGGCGACAAGTCCCTGTGTCAAAATACAATTGAATGTTTGCCCGTGGGAACAAGGTGCTTCAGGTAAATAATATAGAAAAATAAATAGAAAAAAATTGGATGCCAGAAAAATTTGGGCTAGGTATATCAATACCACTTATTCCCTCAGGTAAAGGCCATAGATTCAAGACACCTCTGAGATTGTATCTGTACTTCATTAAGGTGTCTCTGGACACCTCTCTAGAATTATCACGTGTTGTTAGCCAGACCTTTACAATAATGGCAGTCAAGAGCTTCCAATTGTAGTCGGAGTTTTGAGTTTGAGTCACTGCCGGTAATCCAGTAACTCATGACTGGTTCCTTGTTTATTTACACCTCCAACTGGTGCCCTCCTACATCATCACTGAAACAGAGCAGAATCATCACTGGCACTCTGATCAATTAATTGAAACTGGAAAGGAAAGCTCTTGAATATATTTTGGCAACCAAATTTCTTAAAATTCTTTAGAAGAAAGGCCTTCACAAGGAGGGCGGGATAAACGGTGGATTGATAAGAGAATTGAAATCCCTCCAACAAACCCCTTCAAGACAGGATTAGAAACAAAACTGGAAAGGTCCGTTAAGTTAAAGGAGTAACACTGACTAGAATTAAAGTGTTTACTCAGTTTAAAACTGAAACTAACCTATAATTAGTGCGAGGATACTTATGGGGGCCTAACTGACATTATCAGGTAATATAACTGACACAGAGTAATTGTTGACCACAGTTTTGGCTTGACAGCACCATCCATCTTACTTAGGGAAAACCAGCAACACCAAGCTTTTCAGACAGAAAAGCAGCAAGCCAGGGCGTGGGTCTGGCTGGACCTGTTTTGATGCTGGAATGCAAGGGCCCAGCTTTGTCTTGCCAAAGGTGTGTTTTGGCAGCCAAGGAATGGGTGGGGGGAACTTGTCGAGTCATCGCTTGGGGGGGAGGGAGGATGAGGGGAGGCATGGCAGACGGGAAGAAGGTTTCTAACCTCGCTCCCAGGAAGGGAAAAAGAGCAAAATGTCCCCCCTCATTTCAATTCAGGGAGGAGGGAAGAAAGACCATTAAAATGACTCTCTCCCAATAAATAACGGTGAATATTCCTTTGCCAACAAAGGAATAGAAATTACAATTGTTGAAACAATGCACCATTTCTGGAGGTGACAGCAGGGACACTGAGAACTCATGGCAGTTATTTTAGGCTACGGTAAGCCTACATGTCACAAAACAAAAGAACAGATTGACCTTAAGAGTCAAGCAGCTACAATGTTTGAAACACACAGCATGAAGTTGCACAAAGGGTTCGAATACGAGGAGTGTGCCTACAAATCACTTGTATCCTTCGCGCGCCGCCGCCTTTTATATTCTTAAAATCATCCCACTTATTTTGACATTTCAACACAAAGCTCCCCCCTTTCAAAACCCCGGGCAGTGAGACTCAGGGCTAAACATAGATACACAACTCACTTCCGCAAGGCTCACTTCCTCACAACAACTTTGTTTGCCCCGCTCGGCTTACAAGTACCGGGGCGGTAAAAGAGACAGGATCTTCCATTTTCATCCCCAAGTCTTTCTCTCCTCTGGAGGGTACTGCAAGTAGCTATTGCCGGGCAGACATTCCCCCCATGTTCCTCCTTGGGGATCGGGAGCTCAATTCTCCCGGGGAATTAAATAATCAGCGCGTATAATCTAAACAAGGTGGGCCATTCTTTTTTTTCCCCCTTTCGTTCTTGAAAGCAAATTTGATTTTCACCTTTGAGCCTCCGAGCCAAACTTGTTTCTGAATGGACTTGAGTCAAAAGCTTCCATCTACTACATTGACTAAACATGAAGCCGACAAAAAGAATGGGCCGGGCGGATGTAACACACAGAAATCACAATTCGGTCAAAATGCACGAGTCTTAAATTTTCACGAATGCAGCCAGCTCCCTGCGCTCAATCCTTACTAACTACATTAGACTAAGGGTTCCGATAAACAAAGGGCCAAAAAGCCTTCAGAGAAATGCAAGTGCAAGTTTTTCCTAACTGAAAATGACTCAGATACATGGGTAATTCCAGAAAGGAGAGGTCCAAAAGTGTGACATTTTGGTGTCCCTGTTACATCTGACCTTTGTTATTTGACATGGAAATATCACCAGAATTGATTTCAAACTATTACTGTTTGTTTGGCAGGTAATTTGCATTAATTCACCACTCTTGGAAATTAGAAACTGCGTTCTGAACTTACAAAATCATGTCAGATGTGACAGGGACACAAAAAAATGGACCCCTAATTTCTGGAATTACCCATATCTGAGAAGACCAAGGATGATGCAAGACAATTGATCAGGCTGAAAACTGGTAACTCCTCCATTCAATTTCTTAAGCAGTCCATTCTCTCAACCCCAACCCCTCGGATCCTGCCTTGCAAGTGATGCCCTGACAAAACTCATCTCAAGATGCAAACCGACTGCATCTCAAGCTCACAAACTAAGAGAGACAGTGACAGAACAATGACTTACTGTGGTTCGTTGGGCTTGGCCATGACGAGAGGCACTCGGTGAGATGGAACCACATCGTTGGCCATCAGCTGGTACTTCTGGGCATCTTGAAGGTTCCGACTCTGCTGCATGTCACACTGGGAACATAAAGACAGAAAATCAAGGTCTACTCACCACAAATATTCCTGGTTTAATAATGTATCTGTCAAGACTAAAGGTGGGAACAAAATAGCTAAATTATTGCCAGGACTTTTGGAAAAAAACTTTGCAAGACTTAGCTTTATAGGTATAAACACCCCCCCAAAAAAACCTCGCCCCGAATTTGAATCACAAATAATGTTCTAAAAATACACCATGCTGAAACTGCCATGGAATCGATTTCCTTGAAACTGAACCATTCAACCATTTTGACTGGAATCTGGCCAGTTTGGGGCTATCAACACTCGACAAAGGATACTGGAAAACTATTTTTATGCCCCTCAAGCTTTCTGACTTGGCAAAAAAAAGAAAGAAAGTTGGATAGAAACAGGTGGTCATTTGCTTAATGTCAAACACTACTTGTCTGCAATTGTTCTGGGAGATGACCACCAGAAAGTTGAGGGGAGCTAGTCATCCTGTCAAGACCAAAATTGAACTAGTGTGTTTTGTCACAGACGTACAGATTGATTCTCCCTTGAGAGCAGAGCAGCATAATGCCAATTGTAAGAAAACACCCCCCAAAAAGTCAGAAAGGAAATGGGGAACAAAGGTTGCAGATGGTACAGAAATGGACACAAGCCAGGAGCTCGTCAAAAAGCTGAGGAAAAAATAGAATAGGCTGATCTGGTTGATGCGGGGCTTTTTCGTTGATGCAATGCCTGCCTTCCTCAATTGCCTGCAGAAACTTTCACCCCTGTCTTCTTTACCCTTTCCCGGAGAGGTGCAAAGTACTGCAGGGTGTTTGTAGAAAGCAGGGAAGCAGGCAGAACGAGACTGTGAACATAAATGCTGGGCAGTAGCGTGAGGGGGGGGTTGGTTCTGGTTTTGGATTAGGACTCCTAGTATCTCCCCCCCCCATTTGTTATGGTAGGGCACAGTCCCCGCAAGTTTCCAGCCCCCTGCGGCTTTAAAAGCATTTGGCAATGATGTGTGACCATGTACATACTGTTTGCAAGTAGATGGGGGGAGATATCATGTTCACGGAAACCATATGTAAGGAGTCCATACACTCAACTTTCCTTTGGGTGGGTTTTTTTTTGGGGGGGGCTGCTGCTGCTTAATTTTGCCCCCTCAAACGTTATTTTTCTTCTGATTACAGATGTAGCTGAGGAACAACCCCAAAGACAGATCTGCTAAAGACAGTTGATTTCTCCCTGATTCAGAACCCCGTCATCGGGAAAACTTTGGAAATCCTGCCTTTCAATTTCTGAGTTGTTAAGCGCCGATGTCCTGAATCGACATCCTTTCTGTCTTCTCCTTCACAATCGCCGTCGTTGTGCTGCAGGCAGACATCAGGGATCTCTCGATCCCGTCTTCATCCCCAACAAAACCTTTCATTTGCCATACTTTAAAACTCAAAGAGCTCGCCAAGAGATTTGCCCATCTTTTAGGGTTGCGATAAAGGTCCCGAGGAAAACACTGATCACTTCCATCAACTCTCCCTCCCTAGTCATTAGCAACACATGAAGCCAGCTCTATTTCTGTCAGGCCGGCCAGCAAAAGAAAAGAAAGGACATCCAGCTATCATTTGGCAGAGGTGAGGAAAGCAGTCCACGTGGAGTAAGGTGAGATGAACACGGGGCTTCCCTCCTACTGAAGCCACTTTAATCAGGAGATTCTGAAGTGGGCGGCAGACAAAATGTCATACGCAAATCATCATTATGATAATGTGCTGTTGATGATGTGTGGAGACATGAACAGAAACCACTGCAGTTGGAAAAAACAACGTGGTGGAATTGGGCCTCAAAACTTCATGTCTGAATGGAACAAAATTTGGTGGATTACAAACATAATTTGTAATTAACCACTGTATTTGAAAGAAAACAACTTGAGAACTCAATCTCTTGTTACGCAGCATCCAATCACATTTTCTCCTTCAAACTGAAATACCTTAGCCTTCAGCAGATATCCCACGGTTCACTGGAATAAGAGCAGCTTATCTAAGACTGTGTTTGGGTCCAACCAGGGGTGAAGGATAGTTTTAGGGGAGTACGCCAATGCACCCAGGTGTGCGGGCCACCAGCATGAAATATAGACCAGGTGCTCCGTGAAGGGGAGAGCGGGAAATTGGAACATAAGATTCTGCCCTTCCTTTTTGCTGCAGCCTGTCCCATGATAGCGGGCCAAAGCCCAGCTTATCTTCAACCATCAAAGTTTCGATCCGGCAGACCACAGCCTCAGGAATTTTTTTGTGAAAGTTCCTTGACTATTCGCCCTTCATTTTTGCTGTTTTTTTAACCCCCTCCTGCAATCTTTCTTTTTCTTTTCTTTTTTTTTTTCTTTCTCTATCTTTCCCCTGCAAACACCCCAGACCGATGCAAGACAATGTGGCTCATGTTAAGAACTTCCATTTGGGTACTTGTTGCGAAGAAGTAGGCCACCATATCGGAAACCCTATCAGGATTTCTCTGCGTTTGTTTGTCAGAAAAGCTAAAAATTGCCACCCTCTGTTTGTTTTGCACTTGGGAAGCAGTAAGCTTTCTTCAACAAGTCTTTTCTGCTCTTTTAAGTGGGTCACTTTGAATAACTTAGCAGGCTGAGAAATTTGCTTTAGCATAAAATCCCCTCACAGGTCAGGATGCCTCAAGCAAGAGAAGCAGGAACTAGCCGGGGCTGGACACTGCCGATAATGGTCACTCTGGGATGGATAGCCACCAGGGAGCTTTGCTGACCACCTGGGTCATCCCTGATGACCTTTCAAAGACATTGGATTTAACTTTGCCAAGTTGGCTGCAAGTGGCTTGTCAAGGCTGCTCCAGAAAAAAAAACTCCATTTAATTCAAGATTTGAAATCAAAAATCCAAAGAAATGCCAAATCTTTGTATCTCTGCACCCTATTACCGACCCGCCCCATGTTAATGGCCACAATTTAAAGGCACTGCAAGATCGATCATTAATAATTATCCACTTCGCACCGGGGGCATTTATGAATGCTGATGATGCTGGGATGGGGTAATTTTCTTTTTTTTCTGTTTTCAAAATTCTAACAAAATTCACATCTTCATTTATTGGACACTAACACCCACACGAAGGACTGTCTGGTTTCTACTCTAATCTGACAGACAACATCTATTGACGCTGGAGTATTTCAGCCAGGCCTGCTGCCTTGTATAAAGAGCCAAGATTGTGCGGTGTTACATAATTTCCTTTTGTTCCCGAAACCGGCACAATGCACTGCTGGCCTCTTTTCAATAGAGGCCAGATTAGCGTGTAGCGGTACTGTGTGGCTCATCGCTGAGGTGGTGGAGTGCTTTTGTCCCCGGTGGTAATCCGCTCGCTCTAAATGCCGCAAACCGTGGTATACTGTTTCAAAACAAGGCTGGATTATCTGCACTATTGAGAGTGAAAAATGGTGGTAATTTCTAGCAGCCTGGTCTTTTGTTACAAGGCCCAGTTCCCTTTGTCCAATTTCGGAGACCCCAGCCGCACGAATAGAGGATACATGTCCAAAACCGGAATCCCCGGCGGCAAGTGGTTAACTACTCAGCCAGTGTAAGTCAGCAGGGAATATATCATGGCTAACACACGTCTTACACTTTGACTGTGAGACCATTGACATGCTTATTCAGCAAAACATTAAATCCTCTTTTCCCTCTTCAGAAATGCTTCTGTTTTTTCAATTCACTGACTTCCGTCTGGTAAACTTTTCATAACTTCGCAAAAGTAAACTATGAAAGTTCAAATACTTGGAATCAGTACCCGATTACGAACCTAAAATCTATAGAAAAACGGTCCGAATTCTGTTCTACAAGTGCTTTTGCCAACAGCCCCTAAGCAAAAGTGAAAGAACAAATGCCAAATTTGGTTTATCACAGAGAAGGAATCAAGCACTCAGACAACGATCAACTGCTTAATTTACGGCCAGTAATAAAAATGGACCAGGCCTGGAATATCAAGTACCTGATCCCAATTAAGTTTATGAGAAGCTGGGGAGGGGAAAAGGGCTTAGGAATTTGTAGAGGAAGTTGCACTTTCATACTCCAAAGACGAGGAATAAGGAGGTCTTTTTTTTTCTAACCTTAAATGGTACAAAGTTTAACGTCTATTGCCGGAGCCAATACCCAGAAAGCCCAGCATCTTTTGATCAGTTAATGGTTCTATCAGCCAAAATGGAGACGGCCAATTCAGACACCCCCCACCTCCAGCTTTACTTCCAGACTACAAGACAGATAGGGTTGGAAAACGCCACTGAAACTTGAAAGCCACTAGGAAATTTCAGATGCCACTTTGCCTCTGCCTTCAATTATGTTCCCCGTCTGTTTTCAGCAACCTACTATGTATTTTTGCCCGAGCATAAATGGGATATTTGTCTCCATGCTGACCTACAAAAAAAAATGCACTTATTTCATTTCGGGTTTTAATTTACTCCAGTGAGAGATGCATATACGTGCCCACTTGTATCAGCGGAAGTGGGTATGTTTTGGCACTGTCGGGCCATTTTGTCCAATACTGGGGGGTTAGGGGGCCCGGGCTTGATATCTAGAGCAAGACGGCTGGGCAGAAATTGGCCTAACGAGGGTCTGTCTTCACTAGGCTGCTTTCCAGCCCGAATGTGTTTCCTCATCACTGAAGGAATGAAAAAGTCCTTGGCAAGCAAGGGAGGGAGGGTGGTTCACTTTCTGATGAAAACAATCACTGTTGCTTCAGCGTCAAAACATTTGGAGTCCGACACGGTTCTCTAATGTATCCCTCGGAGACGATCTGGAATTTCTATCCCATGATCAGGCAACAAGTCAGAGTGCTTCATTATGTTCTCCAAGTCTGTTTTGCTACAAACAATCTACTGAAGACAAATTGGGTATTTCTGCACTGGTTAAAAGATATCCCTAAGAACATATTTAGCCAATGACTTTTTCCCAAGAATTTCTGCAGATCTGATGTTAGAATAATCAGCCTGTCTCCCCCCCCGTCAATGTTGGTTGTGAAGTTGACAAGGACTTAATGCCATGTCTCAATATTGTACTGTGTTTCACCCACTGAAGATGAATCCCCTCGAGACTACCTGACCATGGTCAGTTCCTCCCCCCCCAAAGCCTCACTAAAATGAGGCCCAGGTTAAAATTCTGAGTCACCCTCTTGTCTGCAAACTGACACAAGAAGCTGACACCGACAAGGTCAATATAAAATAACCCCCACCCCTTTACCAGTTGCACGTGTCCAAAACACAATTCCGGATATTATAAAGAAACTCCTTCCCGTGTTTTTTTATGAAGTTCAGGAGGAAAAATAATCACAGTGCAGTCTTGGTGTCTCTTCGCCATGGTCAAGTGACGCCAGGCAAGGTTTTACCAGCCAGGATAGTTGAAACAAAACCCAGTCGTATTTTAATTCACAAGTCTGAGCGATGCTCCCTAGTTTGTTTTACCGAGCCATGATTTAGTGTTGTTCTCAGTGCGCTGTTATTTTAAGAAAGTGACTGGACAGAGAGGTGACTGGACAAAGAAACCTTAGTAATAAAGTTGGACTGTCTCTCTTCAGCTGAGCGATGAAGTTCAGGCTAGGGCTAGTGTCCTGCTTCGGACAGTTCAAGGAACACGTTTCTTTGAAGAAAAAAAAGGCCAGCAAAGATGACACACAAATATTTCAAATCATTTGGAAAAGATTTTTGAGTAAATCTGTTCACAGTGGTTCCAACGTTGGAGGAATTAAATCTGTAGAGATTCTTTTACAGGACAGCATTGTTGGAGGGAAAGATCTAACAGTTTAAAAGTTGTGAAAGCTGATATTCTTTTCAAAAATATAAATAAACTGATGTTCTGCAAGGAAGACAATTCGGTCAATAATAATAAATAATGAGAGCTGTATTTAAGGAAAGATTTTTATGAAGAAATCCCCCCCCCAACAAGGGTTCTCAACTTCCCAGAACACACAGCTCATGTAATCACTTCACCCAACTCACAACAAGTCTTTCTGGGCTGGCCTAAACACCAACCAGGCCAGGCATACATTTTTTTCACTGAGCAATGCGCCTCCTTTTCAAGCTTGACTAAAGAGCAACTCTTTCCAACCGGCCCCACACTGTCCTATTGTCACTTATCACCTGATCTCCAGGGTTTTCACTTCCACTGCCTTCTATTATTTCTACTCTGTGATTCACTGCCACTGAAAGACACTGAACTGTTATTTCCCTATGCTTCAAACATCAGAAATTTAAACGGAGACTTTTCTAGAATACATAACACTCCAATCTACCTCAAATGATGTCAGTTCAATTCTGCAATCACGATTCAGTAATAGTTTATTTTGAAAGTAGGCAAAAAGTCTTGGACAGAGAAAAGCGCCCTTCATGACCAGTCGTTATTCCCATAGTTTTGGCAAGAATGATTTCTGTTTTGGGAAGAAAAGAGACGGCTACAGAAACAGGGCCACTAGGCTGGTTGAAATACAGCAAATAGGAGATTGGCAGCGACATAACTCGGGTAACAAATTGCAAAGGGAAACTTGACCTAAATCTGAAGGAATGTTTCATGCTTTTTACTTAAACGTTAGCAACCGACAGCGAAAAAGGAAGGGTTTATTATTCTTTGACGGGTTGCAGACAATCCATTTCCCAAAGTGTTCAAGAATGTTACGCTTTGGAAGGAAGTATTTTTGGCCCCAATTGTGGTGTTTTTATTTTCTTTACGGAAGGGATTGGCTAATAAAGAATGGTGTACAAAACACTGTCTCGTCTGGCCACTTCATATTAACGTACACCCACGCAGGTTTGGGGATTTCAACAAGACGTTTGAGCTATGATTGTGTAGAGGCAAGGCACATAAAATAAGGGTGGAATGAAAGGGGTTATGAGGTTCATTCTTCTCTTTGCTCACATGAAAAAAGTTCCAAAAGGTCACAGGGGATGGCAAAGTGGAAATGGGCGGGGATGTCTTTTATCAAACTGGCCGATTATAGTTCTTCTCTTTTCATCGCCCGCACCATTACATTAGTCACACAGTGAATCATGGACCAACAAGCTCTGTGATAGTGGGGTTCAGTGAGCACATCTCAGGCAGTGATAGGGTCGCACCAGTGTACTTCCAAGCTGGTTCCCACGGGGAGGGAGGTTGTCAATTATGAACTCCCAGAGATACGTATCGGTACACAAACACAACCCGAGATGATACAATCGCTGAAGTGAAAATTAGCACATTCTCAGCCGGCGCTGAGTGCTACGCTGTACTCTACAGGGAAATGAGCGCAAAGATCTCCACGGCATGTTCCGTCACTTTTCCTTTTTTTTTTTATCTCAAACGAGCTGATGAACTACTTGACCTGTTTACCTGGTGAAAGCAGGGTATGGCACATATGTACATGCATGGTTCACTCTCATTCCTTACCAGAAAACGAGAGACAACAGTGGCTCGCCAAGTTCAGCAGTCATGGAACGCTTTCAAAATGCAAGGAGGTTTGGGGCAGGATAGCTCTCACAATCATTCCATGTGTTCCATGCTCAGATCAAACTTGCTTTCTGTGTTGCTCTAGTGAAAAAACAAAATCATCTTCTATCCTCCCCGTCACATCCATTCCCCACTCCCACACCTCTCATCTGCCGATGAAGTGAATTTTCAAGTATGGGAGAACGTCAGAATGCCGTACTCACGTTGAAATGCGGATTGGCGTTGACCTGACTGGTCCAGGCCGATCGGGAGTTCTGCTGGTATTTGAAGGGGCCCTGGAAGGAAGCCTCAATGGTGGCAAGACGGAAGGCACACACTGCTGAGGCATGGGCCACCCCGCTGGGAGTGGTGAAGACGCCATAGATGGTCTGGGTGGACTCCTCGTAGAACGTGGACTCTGTTGGGAGTGGGAGGGAGGGTTAGGTTGAAGAAAACACACAATGACAAGGATTTAGCAGGTCAGGTGCTCTCCATTCTAAACTAGCCTCCAGTTTCACATCCACCCACTCATCAGTATGTGAGATGAACTTGGCAGGTGACATAATAAGTTTCCTAATTCCAATCGCCTATGCTGGAGGTCTGTTTGTCAGTTAACAACTGAAGTGGTACTTTCATGCAACAACGGAATAATTCAGAAAAAAAGAAAACTTGCGAGCTGTTTCAGAATAGAAAACACGGATGGATATTTCCTACAGTGATAGATCACGTACAGTGGTAAGTTCAGCATATGGTCTGTCTCGGCACACTACCCAGAGTGTGCATGTCTGTGGTACAGAAACCAAGGGGGAATGAGATGTGTATGCATGTCTCCTCATGGAAAAGCAAAACAGTTTCACCCATCAACTATCTCTGTGCAGATTGTTGAATCAAGGTTTTGTGTCCTCCATTTACTGCCGTGGAACAATTTCTAAAGTGGGAGGGGGGCTGTGAGACCATCCGGCATCAGCCATTAACAGGCCAATCCATTAAGCCCCACCCCATTGTAGGACCTGCTAAAAGTGAGAGGGGGGCTGTGAGACCATCTGGCATCAGCCATTAATTAATAGGACAATCCATTAAGCCCCACCCCATTGTAGGACCTGCTAAAAGTGGGAGGGGGACTGTGAGACCATCTGGCATCAGCCATTAACAGGCCAATCCATTAAGCCCCACCCCATTGTAGGACCTGCTAAAAGTGGGAGGGGGGTCGGTGAGACCATCTTACATCAGCCATTTATCGGCCAATCCGTTAAGCCCCACCCCATTGTAGGACCTGCTAAAAGTAGGGGGAGGGGGGAACAAGTCTCCCAAGTCAAAAAGTGGAGGGTCACTGGCCCTCTGGCCTTATCCCCCCCCACTTCCGTCACCAGTGTCCTCCCGTATTAAGTGGTAAGAACCACACCAGAAGGCCCAACCACTACATTCCTCTAAGAAGAAATGTTCAGTCATCTTTGACTTGAGGTGAATGGCACTAAAATCACTGTAAGGGAATTAGACCACACTTAATTTGGTTTCAGTGGGTAAAGAAAATTGATGGCAATCAGGGAGGTAAAAGGTGATCACTTACGCAGCTCGTTGAAGTGGAATGGATACTCCCCGGAGACTGAGCAAGTGATGCGGGCCTTCATAAATGTTGTCCAGTTGTCTTCCAATAAAAACTGTCCTCCAGTGTCATTCTGTCAGGGAGGATGACAATGTCCATTGAGAAAGTTCTCCTACTTCCCAAAAGTCCATTTTTCAAATTTATCTTATTTAGGGCAATCCACAAGGAAAGTAAACTGTGACTTTTTAGAGACATGCAATTTCACAGGAAAAAAATTGAATAGCAACAGTGACCTTTGTGCAAAATTCTCACACCAGAACATGGTACTGACCTCCAAAATTAAAAAACAACAACAGTTTTTCACTTCTTGTCAATGTTTACTGCCACTTCTATCACATTTTTCTTCATCTTGTGACATTTGGACATATGCCACCGTCACATGTATTTGCTGACAGATGACTGTCAATATTTAAAAAATTCCAAATAGATCATTCTTTGGTTTAAAGTCACAGAGATGCCAAGCTTGACATAGCAAGCTTTTAAACATTCACCTCTGAATTCCTGGAGCCCTGGGCAACATTTGCTGGAGGGGCGATGCTACGAGTGCTTGGGAAAGAAAGTGTTCCCAGGCTCTAGGAACCTTAAAAAAAAAAATCTTCATCCCAGACAGCGGTAGTGCTCCATAATTCCTCTAAGACAATCTCAATCAATGTAAGAATACATCCTGCATTTTTTCAACAAGAGAGTCTCAGCCCTGGTGGCCATCTGTTCAGATCTGTCCAGATGAAGCCAATAACTGTTGACGGTTTTCGAAGGGAGGGCGTAGGCCTGAGGGAAACAATTCCCAAGATGGATGGAGCGATTCTTTTGAAGGGGTCTGGTGTGGATGGGCTGGTGCCAGCTTAGTCATCATCACGTGATGTGTCTTATCCTGGCATTAACCTTTGTCCTTCTGTTGTCTTTCAGTGCGGCCGACCCCGGGATTCTGTGAAGACTCAACCTCTTAAGGGTTGGAAATGGTTCCTTTTCAAAAGCTACTGACCGTAAACAACTACTCCGTCCTTTAACTCAAGGTCTTACCAATTTTTAAAAGAATCTTTCTTACCTTGCATACACGTGCAACTCGTGAGTACACCACCTATAAACAAACAAACAAACAAACAAAAATTCAGTTGAACAAAAGAGCGAAGTGAACCTGTTACCTCCATAAAAAGCACACGTATCCAAGAACCAAATATTCAATCTTATCTAGTTCCTACAACCATCTTCTCAGGACTGCATGGTTTATGAGTCAGGAGTTCTGAATGGAATGGTTTTGCACATGTCTCCCTCAGCCGAGGAAGGTGTTCTGGTGTTCTACAATACTTGAATCCCACCTTAGCTAAAGGCAACTTGACAGGAGAAGGGATACAAAATCACTCATCTGCCTGAGAGAGTGTATTACACACCTATCCCAAGTTATCACAGAAAACTTTGCAAGGTAACACAGAGATATTTCGCACCGACTTTCCATAATGGTTGGACGGAACTTCAACAATCCTGAATCAAAATTAATAGGCAGGCTTTCATCTGTGGAGATTACAGATCCAGAAAAGTAACTTGGGAAAACTGTGCATCTGACCAATTTCATGACACAACCCTACACACACACACCCCCACACCCATACCCACACTTACCTTACATACCTAGTGTGGACATTCCTTTCTTTTCGTGCAGCTGAGAAAACTCAGCAAAAATACTTGTTTTTCTTGAACTGGGAACACAATTTTCAGCTGGATATTTGTGAAAGGTTTCCTTGATTGTTCCTCTTCCGACAGGTGAACCCTACCCCAAAATGCCTCTAAACTTCTTTTTCAGAGCAGGGGATACGGACATGGTTATTACATGTTAGTCCACAGAACGTCTTCCCTTCCTGCATCGTGTGGACATCTTTTGTTAACAAGTCCACACTAGGTATGTAAGGCGAGCGTACCTACACATGTGGTACTCGTCAAGATTCATGTACTCACATATTGCTCGGGATATTTTGAAAGAGCTCAGATTACAAATGCTGCTTCGTCCCCCCTCCCTCATTTGCAGCATTTTGTCTTGGGCAATTTGTTTCGTTTTCGCGTGAGACATTTGTCTTTGATTTAAAGCCCTCTTCCCTGTTTCCTCTCGGGCTGATAAGGGTACAGTTTTATAGCTCAGTCTATCATTTGCTGACAATCCATCCCCCTCTTTCCTCTCCTTCTAGTTCCCCCTCCCCCCACCACCACTCAAAAAAGCCTCAATGACTTGCACCCGCTCCCGCGCTGCATTACACTGCACAATCGGCTTTTTTCATGTTAACTGAGACCACGTTTCAACATGCAGTGAGTTCCGCCTCAATTATTTTCATCTAAAATCCACAAATGTTCCACATGAATGCCTGGACGGCCCTTGCCCAGTCAGGTTTGTCTCTCAACGGGACCGGCGTGTCACGCCCCAAAGAGCCGGTGCACCCCCCAAGGCAAGAGAATAGTCACTTAAAGACAAAACAACCCCCCAAAAAAAAAGGAATAGAGAGAAAAGACAGTTCTAAAATGACGCAAATGCCCAGGTTGAAACGTGAGTCAGATTTACGGCAGGTTGGGAATGAAAAGGGAAGCCTGGAGATGTGATAAGCTTCCTTGAGGTGTAGGGCAGAGTCAAGGTGCCATCAAGGGCGTTTGACATGAGGGGTAGGCGAGGCAAGGGGTCCAGGCAGATGAAAATCTCAAGATGCCAAAGCACCTGTTCATTCTGAAGGCACCATTGCACCCCCCCAAGAGAAACCTGCATTCAATGACGTCAGAAAGTCTGACCGCATACAGCAAAATCTGCAATGTTGGCTGAGACTGACAACTTCAAGGGTCCATCTGGACGGCCAAACGATTGACATAACCGGTTTCTTCCCGACATTTCCCTAAACAGAGGAAATGTAGTTAACAGAGGACTCTGCATTTCAACCCTACCCGTGTGTTTGTAAATAGCAACAGGGATGCAGGATACCCATTTCAGAGAATTGTTTTCTCCCCAAAACAGCATGATGTCAGTTCATTTTCACTCAAAAGAATCAACTCTGACAGATGGATCGCCAATCACCGAATTCACCATCAAAGCCAAGCTTAGAAAGTACATATACATTCATTCATTCCCTTTACATTTGCAATTTCACTTTTCCCAATTCTTCTACATTTTGGACATTATTCTCTGTTGTTTGCATTCAAAAATTTCTGTTAAGTTACCAGACTGATCAAACATCTAACATTACTTGTACTTTCAAGGAATCCACTCACCAACTTATGCCACTCAACCAATTTTTCAATTTTTTAATCTCCCCTCCTCAAATTTGTGGTCATGAGCAAAAGGTGGAAACTGGTGCTTTGAACATCCTGGTGGAATGTACTCCTACTAAGCTACATGTCGGTCTATACATTATGTGTATCTAGGAGACGGAGACAGGAATATTCAAAATCTTCATTTACATATCACAGATGCTTGCACGTTGAGGCTACACACCTGCTTTCTGGCTATATTCCCATTGATTCTCCCACCCAGTTTTCAAGGTAGAGAACTTTCCAATAACCTCTGCTCTGGGTTAGGATTTTTTTTCCAATAACCCTCAACCCCCCCCCCAAACACATGCCTCTCTTAAGCTTCCACCTTCGTCCCTCAGTCCGTGGGAAAACCCAACCTACACATACACCGACGATGTGCACGTAAATGCGTAGGCCTGCGGTCATATCAGGACAGGACAGGACGCAACCTCCCTTGTCAATTTAATCTGCAAGTGCTGGGGAGCGCGAAATCTGCTGTCACATGCCGGCTCCCATCCGACATGTTTGCCTATTAAACGGTGACCCCTTCTGCCCTTCTGTTTCCATTCCCACTTGGGCTACCCATCAATCAGAAACACCAGGGGGGGGACAACCCCTTCTCTTTTGTGGTCTCTGGAAAGATACCTCTCTCTCCCTGATGCCCATACATGGGTCAAAGCATCTGACTAAGCCTGGTATGTAAGCCGGTTCCGTTGGGATACACGCGTGGGTGTGGCGTGGAAATTGAGACAGAGAGAGTGTAAAAAAATGGAGTAAACAGCTTATCTGTAAGGCAATGCAGAACAAGGAAACAAAAGAATCTAATGGTTTCCAATGAATCTTCCTGGGCCCTGTGCTTCCGATGGAGGATTGACAAGGGTAATGACATATTTCTTCTTCTCCTTTTTGTTTCAACCCAAAAGAAGAATGAGACAGCAATCATTCCTTCTCCTTCAAGCAGGTCTAAGAGTATCACTTCCACACCACTTGTCCCAAATCAATAAATCAAGAATTTACAAAGGAGCTACCCTGAAACTGGGTTGCACTTGATCAAGTTTCACATTTTTGGGGGAGATTTGCCTGAGAGGAAATGTCTGAAAAGTCAACTGCTTGCCCATCCCAGCAGGGTTCCCTCTCAGACCCTGCACACAATGAGATTCCCCCCCCCAAAAAAAAACCAAAGATGGTTAACAAAAACTCCGTTTTTGGGTGGCCAGAAACTTTACCCTAAACTCACAGATTGCAAGACATTTCAAAGATTTCTCTGAGGCCAGCTTGGCATTAATTTGCAATCTTAGCAACCGCCAAGTGGTTAATTTTGCTTTTGATGTCTTTTTGATTTGCCACTTGTTAAACTTGCATCCTTTCTTTGTAGTGCAACTGGAGGGGAAATACTGTGCTTGTTGCTTCATCAACAGCCGGCGAATATCCAAAACCTCTGACCTCTGCAAGACTTATGAAACACAACACTCCTGCTAGCTACTGAAATGCAGCTTCTGTTTCTGCCCCTCGGCCACAATTATTCACCAAGTAAACTAACAGTTGGATATTAGGATGCTACGCACAGTAAATAAACAATTAACTAATTGGTTCCAATACCAGCTTCAGTGCCGACAGCAAGCTGTGAACCGATACCCTCACACTGAACAATATGTCTGTCTCTCTGATCGCAACGGTGGCCCCAGGGGCCGAAAACAAGCTGCCTAACTACGCCCACTCGTTCTGATAAAAACAAATGGCCCTAGACGCCAGCTCAGAAATCTTCTCTTGAAACTTGTTAGACTTTCAAAATGCTGTTTTGACACCTGTTGCGTGTGGGGTGTTTTCCTATTTTTCCACATGCACCCTCCCTGAAGTGTTTCAAGCGTCTAGCGATCTGACCCTAGGACTCAATTAAAACAGTTATGCAGGTTAGCTGGATTTCTGTTTAAAGGAGCCCACTGGCAGGCAAATTATTCTCAGCCTGCTGTTGGACCTGCATGTACTTGGCATGTGTCTGTTCAGGTTGTTTTTCTGGTGAGAACAAGTACGGTCTCTCCACATTTCAATGGTCTATACTCTAGTTGAAAACCAAATGCCCAGTGTACTGTACTCATGCAAGATTACTGTAAGGTTCTGCATTTGAACGGCTCAAAATTCCCCAATGCAATTTTCCTGCAAGCTTGTTGAAGGCCCCAGGTATATATTAGCACAGGCCAATGTCATTCTCAACCCTGCACGTCAGTCAGCAAGATTCCCCTCTCCCAGAAATCTAGGGAAAACTACAGTGGCCCAGAAATGACACAGCCACTATGAGTGGTCTTTCCACATAGTTTCCAATACGTAATACCTCTCTTTCAAAGCACTGTGGAAGTTCAACATCAGAAGTTTCACAATGATGGCTTGGCTTGGGTTCGGGTTCAATGCATACTTCACAGGTTCTGTACTTTGTTTGCAACAGAGTATCAACCAAAGAGATTACTGTGACACAGCGAGCAGTCGAAACAGTTCATCCATCCACCTGCCATGTCAGCCTTCATGGGAAGAACATCTCACCCTGTTTGTCACCAGGTTTGGCAATAGGGGACGTCCTCTGGTCTCATTAACCAACAATCTGTCTTCCAGGAGGACAGCCAGCCGATCAATTAAAGCTGCAACCTTCCAGGTCAATCCATCATCTGATGGTAGGATCCCCTAACGGAATCAAGCATCCACTTCAAGGACCGAACCCCCCCCACCCTTTTTTAAGACCCTCCCTTCCATTTCATTGGTGACAACTGTGAAAGATAGCTGGGCCATCGGTGGTCCTGTCGACTACACAGACAATTTCTGGGGCAG